TCTAATCAAAGCTTTTTTGGATGTCTAAGAGTCCCTCTTTGAGATCTGTGATGAGTGCCTGATACTCTTCTTTTGAGTTTGCAACGGAGGCTCAGAGAAAACATCATAGGCATCTGCAAATTCCTTTTGTGCACTACTATTTTTTCCCCATTGCTCAAAGCTGTGAGAGGCCTCCGATCGAGTAAATTGGTCAATGTCATTTTGAAACAGAACACCAGATATAGAGATATCTCTTACCCTAGAGCTTTGCCAGGGTGATATGTATAAATCCCTATCTAACGCCAACAATTTTGCATTTTCTTGAATCACTTTCATCAAGATCATCTCATATTTCCCCATCAGATTAATAGCGCTCGTGATGCTTGTCAGAAAACCTCTAATTCCAGATTCATTTTGGCCCTCAGGTATAATTTTAGAATCATGTCCTTTTTTTATGATACGATAAGAGCCCCCCCCAAAAAATGTTATCACTTCACAAATTTAAAAGTATAACTCTTATTAGTACATTTGTATAAATTTAAATATGGTTATTAACACATTGAGTACTTGTCGAATAATTTGAGCACGAGTTTATTACTGAATCACCTTAAACTTTACATTCGAGCATGTTTATCGAGGGAATTTTTATGGGAATACCCTCTTTTCAAACCCATATTATCAAAAAGCCCCTTTCCTGTTTTAAATAAAAGAAACTTGTGAAATTACAAAATAACATTTACTAAAACATACAGTTTGAATACTCCTTCGAACTCTTCGTCCAAAGATACGAATGCAGCCCCGACACCCACACAACTCTCTTTAGGTTTGTCTTCTTCCTAGCAAGTAGAACATGGTCAAACTGGTTCAAACTCCCTCCATTGCACTCCTCTTCGAACCCTACTCCTAACGGCACTCCTTCCATCTTTCATCATTCTAAAACGCTTCTCCTTCAACGGCAAACGTGCCACTTCAGGTATTATGAAGGTCAAAACCCCTACAATTCCAATGATTGAAGAAGATGAGCCTAAGCATACATAAGCGTAGGTTGGTAAAATTAGGAGAAATCAGCTCTGCTAAAAATCATCTGAAGAAGTCGGGCTCAAAGCAGAGTAAAGAAATTCAACAAGATAAGGTTGATGTATAAGAACCTCAAAAGTTGAATCTTTTTTCTCTAAACAAAGAAATTAAGGTAATTACCCATTCATCCAACCTAATTACATGTTTTTTGTTCTTACTTTGAGTTTGTTTGATCGTGTTTGAACGTGTTTGATTGTGTTTTTTACTATATTCTAATGTGAATTTAATTGTGTTTGACCTTGTTCTGTCCTATTTTTATTTTACCTTGTTCTACCGTGTTTGAACCAGTTTGACCTTGTTCTACCCTATTTGACTGTGTTCGACCATGTTTGACAATTAATAATTAGAACATGTATTCATGATTTTTTTTGTTCAGGTTCCATCCATATCTCCGATGGTTGACACTACACTCTTCCCCAACATGAAAATTACATTAAAAAGTTCATTGGGAAAGTTTCAAGCACAAATGAAGGGTTGGTTAGGTGATCATCCCGACCTATTGAATCAGTTTAGGTCCACTATATTTGGCAAGTACTTAGACGTGCAATATGTCCCTACACCCATCCTTATGTGGCCTTTACTTAATTGGTAGAATAGCGGATATTGAGAGAACTTTAGAGGTGTGGTTTATGATGAATGGGGTTCCAATTCGCTAATATCTAAAGGAGTCTGCTTTAATTAGTGGGTTGAACTGTGTTGCTCTGGACAAAGACAATTTTGAGAATGATTATGAATTTATGATGAGGATGATAGAGCAAATTTTATTGATACTCACTGACATTCTGTTCTTCGTGATGGAAGTAAAGATAAAGTTAGTTATAACACGATTATTCATCAACTTTGTAATCATTTAAACTATCATGATAAAGCTAAAAAAGATGAAGCACGGTCTGAAGTGATAAGAATGGCAACACTTGTGTTTATAGTGATGGTTCTTTTAGCCCCTGCCAAGAGAGACAATTCCATTCCTGATTGGATCATTGCACAAGTCGGTAGATACTATCTAGACTTTCCATGGGGTACATGGGCATTTATGGAGTCTCTTAAGCAGTTGAAGAAGAATTTAAAAAAAAAAGATGGATGAGATCATGCATCAAGAAGTGACTCCAACATTGTGTTATACGAGTTTCGTAACTCCGATATCGGTGAGATACTTTTATTTATGACTATTATATTAAAAAATATTATGTATTTGTTGAATTAATTATTATTTGAATATATCTTGTTAGATCTTGTTGTTGGAGTGTGTATCAGGCTTTGCTGAAAAATTTGCTTTCAAGAAAAAGCAAACTACTCATGTCTCTCCCCGCATTTGTCTTTGGAATCTACGCTCTAAAGTTCATTGAGTTCGACATGCAAAAGAAGCATTATACCTGCCTTCATGGGATTAATGCGGAAGACATTAGACTGCTTAGGCTCAAGATGGTATTTGATATTTGTTTAGAATTTCAATCAACCTTAGATTTATCTAAATAGACTTATTTTGTATGAACTCGTTTGTTATATGACATTTTAAATTGTACTGATAGTATGTGTGTTGTTTAGATATTTTGGTGTGAATTTGTGTGTAAATTTTTTAATTTGAACATCGAAAAAAAGGGTTAAACTCAGTTGAACCCATCAATACAATCCAGGTCGAACTCGGTCAAACATAGTAGAACCAATGTGAAACCAGGGTAGAACCGGGTCAATACAACCCCGGTCGAACTCGGTCAAACATAGTAGAATGAACAGTCAAACCTAGTAGAACCCAGTCGAACTCGGTCAATCATGCATGTTTGACCATGGGTCAAACTGCTTAATGTATGAAAATGCAGCTTAATATATAACTACACTTAATTTGCATTTAACCAAATTGGAGTATATAGTGAACCTGAATTGTAAAAATGTTCATGATTACTTAATATATCGATATAATATGAATATTAATACCTGTGTTTGACATGTTTAGATTCCGATCATAGAAAGCCCTAATTTGACCCAGTTAGGTCGAACCTATTTCAAATGCAATTGGACTTTATGATGATCTCGGATTTTAAAATTGATTACTATTTACTTAATATATTGATAAAATATTAATATTTACACTTGTGTTTGACATGTCTTAAATTGCACTCATAGAAAACCATAATTCCATCCAATAAGGTCACAACTATCTAAAATGAAATTTGATTATATGGTGAACCTAAATTGTGATATTGATAATGATATTCTTAATATATCAATACAACATGTATATTGACACTTGTGTTTGACATGTTTTAGGCTCCATCCATACAAAACTCTAATTCCACCCAATAAGGGTACAACTATCCGAAATGCAATTGTAATAGATGGTGAACCCGAATAGTAAAATTGTTAATGATGTTCTTAATATATCGATACAATATGAATATTTGAACTTGTGTTTGACATGTTATAAGCTCCATTCATGGAAAACCCTAATAACAACCAATTAGGTCACAGTTATCCGAAATGCAATTGAACTATAGAGTGAACCCGAATTGTAAAATTGATTATTGTTTACTTAACATATCAATAAAATATGAATACTCACACTTGAGTTTGACATGTTTTGAGTTCCATTCATACGAAACCCTAATTAACCTTAATTCCAAAGATTTGAAATGCAATTGTACTAAATGTGAACTCGAACTGTGAAATTGATCATGCATAACTTCACATGTCGATACAATATGAATATTTTCACTTGTGTTTGACATGTTTTAGTCTCCGATGATAGAAAACACTAAGTCCGCCCAATAAGCCACAACTACATGTGTTTGTATTTCGGAAAGTTGTGGCCTTATTACAAAGAAGTAGAGTTTTCTATGAGAAGTAACCTAAAACATGTCAATACGCATCTAATATTCATATTGTGTCTATGTATGAAGTAACTCATGATCAATTTTACAATCCGGGCTCACCATTTGGTCCAATTGCATTTCGGATAGTTGAGACATAATTGGGTGATATTAGGGTTTTCTATACATGTTGCCCATAACATGTTAAAAAAAGTTCAAATGTTCATTATGCATTGATTTATGAAGAATATAATTACCAATTTTACAAGTCGGGTTCATCGTATAGTTCAATTGCATTTAAGATAGTTGTGCCCTCATTGGGTGAAATTAGGGTTATGTATGAATGGAGCCTAAAATATGTCAAACACAACTGTGAATATTCTTTTTGTATTGATATATTGAGAACATTGTTACCAATTTTACAATCCGGGCTCACCGTATAATTCAATTGCATTTCAGATAGTTGTGCCTTTATTGGGTAAAATTAGGGTTTTGAATGAATGGAGCCTAAAATATGTCAAACATAACTGTAAATATTTGTTTGTATTGATATATTGAGAAAATCATTACCAATTTTACAATTTTGGTTCACTTTATAGTTCAATTGCATTTCGGATAGTTGTGCCCTTATTGGGTAAAATTAGGGTTTTGAATAAATGGAGCCTAAAATATGTCAAACATAACTGTAAATATTTTTTTGTATTGATATATTGAGAAAATCATTACCAATTTTACAATTTTGGTTCACTCTATAGTTCAATTGCATTTCGGATAGTTGTGCCCTTATTGGGTAAAATTAGAGTTTTGAATGAATGGAGTCGAAAATATGTCAAGCATAACTGTAAATATTCTTTTTGTATTGATATATTGAGAAAATCATTACCAATTTTACAATTCGGGGTTCACTCTATAGTTCAATTGCATTTCAGATAGTTGTGCCCTTATTAGGTGAAATTAAGGTTTTGTATGAATGAAGACTAATGCATATCAGACATCTATAAATACTCATATTTTATTGATATATTAAGTAAACAATAATCAATTTTAAAATCCGGGTTAATCTAATCCAATTGCATTTGGTATAGGTGTGACCTAATTGTGTCAAACTAGTATTTTCTATGAACGAAAACTAGAGCATGTCAAACACAAGTATTAATATTCATATTATATCGATATATACAATTGAGGTTCACCAGACATAACCCAATTTAACCTATGGTCAAAATTGACCGAGTTCAACTAGGTTTGACCGAGTTTTACCGGGGTCGACCTATCTACTAAGTTTTACTGAGTTTGACCATGTTCGACCTTGTTCTACCCATGTAAAACTGTATGTTCTACCCTGTTCTACTATGTTTGACCAGGTTCAATAGTGAACCTTACAATATGTTATGGAACATAATAAATAGAGAGAAAACACAATATATAAGTACAATAGACGATAAATAGTACAAACTAAATTACAACTCATCTAGTGTTTCCAGAGTAGAGGCATTTACTATTTTCACAGTAGGCAACAACCGATGTTTATAAGTTCTTAAGGTATGTCCTTTCTTTTTGCACCCCGAACACGTCAATTGCCATTTCTTCCTATGCTCACCCACGGATGGGAATCTTTTCATCGTAGGCCTTCCTCTCTTCCTAGAAATTATAGGTGGATGAATTTCCAATTGGACTTCATCATTGGCTTCACATTCTTCTTCTCTTGTGACAGGATAAATGGTTTCGGCATATGCGACATACATAGGGTCTCATTACATCACATAGGTCAAACCGTGACATTTGTAATGAGACTTTCAACGAATGAGTACCCTTTTATAACCAGTTTCCTCACACAAACATTCCAAAAATGAATCAAAGTCTGTATTGGATGCATCCCAACCGAAAGCAACAATTTTTTATCTCCTTCAAACGTGTAGTCTCCATTCTCATGTTTTTCCATTGCCCATCATAAACAACGTATATCAACTGCGTCGAACATGTAGCCATCTGTGAATGTAAAGAATATTAAATTATTAAACATAGTCAAACTAATTGTCAAACTTGACAAAAATGTTAGAACACAGTCAAACCTGGTCAAACTTAGTTAACCATGGTCGAACCTATCAAACATGGCCAACTAAGAAGCCGTCAAACCTATGAAAACCTACCAGAATGTTAAAACATGGTCAAACATGATCAAACCCAGCCAACCATGGTAGAACCTATCAAATATGCCCATCTAAGGTGCACGAAGTACAATCTTCATAGATTATTTTCAAAAAAAACAGGTTAAGAGTTATCCATTATTGTCAACAAAGCTTTTTATACTAAGTAGATTTCTTGAAATAAATAGTTAAAGATACTTTAACTTACTTGGAAGGGAGAATGAAGACAATGGAGATGCTAAAGAAGAAGATGTTGATGATTGGTGAGTTACGTTGAACTCAAAGAGGAAGGTTTGAACGTGTTCAACCGAAGTTCCAAGCATAGCTTGTTTGAACGCTTCAAGGAAGAGGATGTACGCTAGGAGGAGGGCATCCATCGGAAGAGAAGAAAAGGTTTGATTTGTGAAGGGTACCCCTAATAATAATAAACCTTATGAGGGCACTTTGATAAAAAAATCTCTTTTAGGGGTATTTTAAAAATTTGTCCGTTTATCGAGCTTATCGAGTGCTCGATTCGAGCATCAGATGGCTATCGAGCTTAACACGAGCCTCATTTGTAAACTCGTCAATCTTCGAGCTCGAACCGGAACACCACTATTACCGAATGAAGCTGAACTCGAGCTCTGGGTGTCTCAACTTGGCTCAACTCGTTAATAGCCCTAATTCCACATAATAGTTCACGCAGACAGCTCTAATTTCTATATTTTACAAGCACATATTAGAGCAATGGATTATAAGACTCCAAGATTTAAAGTGGATGTGTCAGTCTCAACTCACGTTAGGGAAATTATGACAAAGATAGTTGTTCAAATACCCACAATAAATCAAGAAATTTGCTATAGGTACAGCCTGGGTTACACCTAGGATACACCCTATATAACCTCCCCCATTTTTTCTCTCCCGTTCCTCCCCTCTTGCATCATATGACCCCCCCCCTCCCCTCTCCCCCCTTCTTCTTTATCATCTTCTTTTTCTTTTTCTTTCCCTCTCTCTTTTCTTTCTTTTTTACTCCCTCCGTCCCTGAATTTAGTTCCAACTTTCCCTTTTCATCCGTCCCAAAAAGAATTTCACTTTCCCTTTTTTGCAAAGAATTTGTGGTTCACAACATTTCTCTCTCCTCTGCACAACTCTCCTCCACACAATTCCTACTTTCTTAATCACCGTGCCACTTTAATTTGGAACAACAATCAGGGACGGAGGGAGTACTTTATATTCACCATCATCTTCCACCACCACCACCATCATCATCATCATCATCATGCATCACCATTTTCACCACAAATTCACCGGAAAATTATAACCGCCTGAATTTTTGTTTGTATGGTGCTAAATAATGATAAATATTGTCTATAATGAAAGATGACACTAAAAAACTAGTAATATTCTATAACTTTCGTCATAGACAAAAAAATGTATGTACATAGACACTTGTTTTCTTTTAGTGTGTGTACACAGACAAAAAATGTTAAAAAAAGTCAGGGTTGGATTGCACTGAAACAAATGTCTATGTACACAAACAAAATTTGTATATGCACAAACACTTTTGTCTACACAGACAACTAATTCCTGTGTAGACCAACATTGGTTTTAGTCCAACCACCCTGACAGATCTACAAAAAGTTACATCAATCAGCAAACCAATTTTTGTTCACATAGACATTTTTATCGAAAGTGCCTTTATTTGTATAATTTTTGTCCGTGTGAATGGCAAATAAAGAGGGTGTAATTTAGGGTGTACGCCAAGAATGATTGAGAAATCAATATGTTCACAGGAGTTCTCCACTCTCAAATGTCCCTAAACACAAATAGTGAGAATAAATACAAAATTGAAAAATTCTGAAGTAAAAATGTTTTGAAATTTCAAAATAAAACGATGTTTGTATTCTCTAAATAAGAATAATTATAACTAACTTTGTAAATTATTGTCATGTTTAAAAGTAGATAATGTCACAACTTGACAATAACTACTCCTCTTTAGAAAAGAGAAAATGGTCAAACCCGGTGCTATTTCCAATTCATCATTGAAGTTCTACTAAGGCTCTGTTTGCAACCACTTGTTCTTAAATAAAAGCACTTTTTGGGAAAAAGTGATTAGTAGTAAAAGTTGGTAGCGTTTGGTAAAATAAGTGCTTTTTGTGTAATAGAAAAAATAAAAAGTAGATTCTACACGAAAAACGAGGAAGTAAAAGTTGATAGTGTTTGGGAAAATAAGTGTTTTTTTAAAAAAAAAAAAGCCAAAATCACTTTTTTTAATTGATTGCAAACAAACCCTAAAAAGTGGATTACGCTTACTTTTCAAATATAATCAATCAAGTCATTTTCAGCTGCTATGACATGTTTTTTTATAAATGAATTAAGATCATTGATAAATCTTATAAAAATTCATATGAATTTTAAAAATCGTGAAATTATAGTATAAAAATAGCATAAATGTAAAAATAGATAAATTATTTAAAAATGTTAAAATAAAAATAAAAAATCAGAAAAATAATCGAATAAAGAGAAAATATAAAAAATATAAAATAGTAATTGTAATAACCTTTTAAATACAAGTAGAATATACTACAACAAAAAGTCAAAAATATTCACTTTGACATTCTGAAAATTTTCATACATATTTCTTCAAATTTTAATAAATTTTGGAGTTTTAAACATAAAAAAGACTGCTATTGCAGGTAAAAAACTAAATAAATGACCAAATTGATATTTTTTTTAAAGTTAAGGTATGATACTTTTTTATTAAAAAAGCTTAAGTGATGGGTTGAAAATAATAGAAAGGCTTATTTGACGCTTTTCTTTTAGAAAAAATATAGCAATCCTATTTTGGAATTCCCCGACATTTTTACTCCTATTCAGGGCATTTTCTTAAACATTACAATGTAATCATCCACAACAATAATACCCATAATGCTATTACATTCATATGATGAGGCATAGTGATAAAAAATGTGCAATTGTACACCCTCAATAATCATTTAACAATTAAGGATACCCAAATAACATAGTTTCCCCCCAGAAATAATCCGAATTAAAAACATATTTATGTAAATAGGGTTGGGTTAAAAGTATTTACGGAGATACTGGTGTGCCTAATACAGACGTGCCTAATACAGACGGGTCGAGCAGACCTCTAGACAGAACACAAAATAGCCCCCAAAAATCCCTCCAGTGACAACAACGAGGACTAGGTCTACTCCACTTACCAAATCCATCTTCTTCAACACTCTTTCCTTCAAATTAATGAAATCTCCAATTTGTATCATATTTCAACTTAGGGTTTAGGATTGGTAAATTTCAAGAATTGTAAATTAGGAATTGATTTGTTGTTTAATGTGGATATGTATGAGATGTTGAATTTTAATATTTTGGTTTTATTAAGTGTAATGACATCATATAACTTTTGCTTAAAGTGTGTATATGAAATGTTGAATTATTATGAATGTGTATAAAGATGGCGATGGTGTATATAAAATTGGGCTTAAAGTGTATGTATGAAATGTTGAATTTCAGTGTATAAAGTGTATATATTAATGTGTACAGTGTACTCATCAGTTATCACCATGTATTGTTATTAAAATATGGAGCATCCCGCCATCCCTACTCCTCTTCCTCTCGCTTATTTCAACCAAGGCAACAAAAGAAGAGAAATAATCCTACAAATATCATATCCTCCATTGATGAAGCAAGCCCAAGCAAGGAGAAGTCCAAGGAGGAAACTTAATAAGGAAACTTGGGAAGAAAAGCTTGAGAAAAGGAGGTAAGGACCTTAGTGGCTTATCATGACTTTCCTTCTTCCATAAAATACCACATGACATATATATCATATGGAAAACTTCTCGCATTGTTCTACATGTTTAGAAGTGTAGAATGAGGGGTTGGAAGGTGATGTTAAAAATTTATTTTAACATCACATTTGTAAGAACGAACTTAGAAGCCAAAGTGACTGGTTCGCCGAAAAATAATTTTTTTGAGGTCATTTGTATTGATATGAGTTTTGGGATGTTAAAACCTTGTTAGAAACTTGTCTAAGGTGTTCATAGTGATTTCACAAAGTTGAAAGAGTCACCGGCGGTATCGCCGGAGTTCAACAAAGTTCACCGGAGTTCAACCGAAGGGAGTAGAACTTCTTAAAGCTCATTCAAGGTGAGTTGACGGCTTAATGTCTTATAACTCTTGGGTTAAGTATGAGATTACCAAAGTAAATGTTATATGTGTTCATAATGATGCTTAAAAAAATTTAAGCATGTGATTAGCGTAGGTGATTAGGCTTATGTGAATTTAACTATAAAGATATGCATGAAAATGATATGAAAATGTTTACAAAAACATATGTGATGTTTTTAAAGGGCCAAAATGGCATATATTAATTGTTGAAGACTTGATACACGTTGTGGTAAAGTTTCGTATTAATCGGAGTCGGTTTGAGTGGTCAACGGAGCGTTGACCGGTAGCTAGACAAGCAATCGACGCCGGTTTGGGCTATAACCCGCGGCAGTTTGAGTACGGGGCAACCAATTAAATTGTTAATTATGAACCGGCGCCGATTTGACCCTGCTTGATCTGAATTGGTTTATTTACATGATTTTGCATGAATGATTGTGCTTAGGCTATAAGACTTGACTTAGTCTTGATTATTGATTATGATATAGACCATAGTCAGATAAGGTATATGGTAGATCATAGGTTCGGGTGGAGTACCCAAGGACCGGACGTTGTCCTCAAAACTCGAAATACAATTCGTGGAGTACCCAGAGACTGGTCAGTCCTCAAAACTCACAGAATACGGTTTAGTAATTCAGGACCGGGTGGTGTCCTTAAAATACTTGATTGGACTAGGAGGAGTCCTATAAACTCATAGCTATTTGGCTGGTTGAGATTGTAAATCAAAGACATTGACTATTATTATTTTTCCCAAGTAAACAATGACCTACGGATTGGGGTTTTTTGGCGATCACGTAAGACCGAATTACTCGATCTAGATACCTAGCTACTTGAAGAGGAAGTGTGTATACTGATATGTATTTCAAGACTTGGGGTGAGAGATATAAGTATATGTATCATTTTATGTTTGAGTCTTATACTTGAAACATTAGTTATTCTACATTTAGCCTGATCTCACCAATATTCGTGTACTGACCTCTTCAGGAGCCCCACATTTTTCAGGTCGAAGCTAGAGCTTGATACCTGCACCTTTCCAACACTATTGTGTTCCCTAAATTTTCAAATCAACAATATGACACAATCAAGTAATCAACCCTCCGGGTACTACACCAAGTGCCTAGATCAGACAGAGGACATCATTACTATTGAAGAAAAAAAGCAACACACTAGAAGTAACGAAATAACACCATATATACGCTCAAATATAGTATAACGTACTATTTCTTCATCACATGGTGATGCATTTCAATGCTTCTATGCAAATTCCAGTGGAAGTAGAGAGCCACAATACGCATTATGCTAGCTGCCAACACCTCTACAAAGGCCATGAGGAATGACCTTTGAGGAGACATACCAGCGGTGGCTATGGATAGTGCAAACCCCTTTAGGTTGCACGGAACAAAAAAACTTCCAGATTTAATGCCATCCAAAGCTTTCTTGGCAACTTCCTCAGCTTTCATTTTACTAGAAGAAGCAGCTAATATACTTGTTAGCGGTGGCCTCGTTTTGTTATCTATAGGAAAGGTAAAATTATCAGAATAGTTGTTCAAAGTTCAAAGAGACCTTGAGAAATAGATTATTGCAAAGTTGAAATAGATACTACGTATAAACTAGCTACAAAATATCGTACAATCATAGGTATCCAATAACAAATAAGAAGCTAAATTGAGGAGCTTCAGGCTTTTGGTCTGCGGTTGAGGAGAAGGCCCTTGGGTTAACTTAGGTTCAGAGGATTGGGCTTGCCACAAAGATTGGGGATGGTTGGCAAAGAAGACCCTTGGTCTTCCAAAGGGAAGCATCCCTTGAGCAAAAAATAGGTCCTGAGTCCTGTCAGACACTTGGGCTCACGTGTTGGTCAATGTCTGAACCATTCCCATGAAAAATGCGGAGAAGCCTACCCACCTTTAAACAGTTTATTATCTTAGAAACTGTATACATAACACCCCAGGTTGTGTACGAGGTTACATTTTTATTAATATCATTAGCAAACAACTCATTACTATCGAAGATCCATCACTGCATTTGTATTTTTGGGTAAAAAGCATTTTTTTGTCTCGTAAATAGGGATGGACAAAGTAGACTAATTGAAATTTTTCGGCAATTTAGGCCTATTTCTTTAAAAATGTCTACAATTTAGTCTGGATTCCAGAAGCCAACAAAAATTGCAAAGTTCGTGAGCAAGCACATTTCAAATTAGTGAAACAATGATTTGATAAAGACATGTCAAATTTATTAAAATTAATTAATGGTAAAAATGTATCTTAAGAATAAACAAAGACCATCTGTGAATCAATAAAAAAATCTTTGTCGTACATTAAACTTAATATAATTGACAATTTGACATGTCACCATCAATTACGTGGATCTCTGATTTGAACATCACATTCCATAAATTTGCAATTCTTCAAGGGGTTCAGGGCAGAACTGTTGATGTTTTAAAAGCAATGGGTCAAACGGTGCACAGCCAAAGAGGGTCTATACAAGATCAGTTTTACAAAAACTTATAGTTATGGACTAAAGATGCTTTTTAGTTTTAAGTTTTCTTGTGTGTGTCAGTGGGGAAAAACTTGATTTGGACAGAGAAACTGATAACTTTGGGAATCACACATATCAAGGATAAATAAAATCAATCTTTGTTTCAATACCTTCAACAAGGCCAGGAGTATCAGTGTCTGGAGGAAATATCAGGGAGACATGAATGTTATCTGAAACAACCTCCTGCTGCAATGCTTCTGCCATACCCCTAAGACCAAATTTAGTAGCACAGTAGGCTGTATAACCATATATCCCAACCTAAACGAGACCATCCAAATTGAGAATCAGTCATAAAGGACAACACCACAAACAAGTTTCTTTAAAGAATAATAAGAAACATGAATGATAAATAAATTATGCACTTTCACTGGGTACTGTCTTCACACCCGATCTTAAATTTATTGCAACTTTTGGAGGAAAAATGGTCCATACATCAATATATTAAGTAATAGACAATTTTGATAGTTCGATATTATAATACTCCATAATTGTTTTAGGGAAAAACATATCGGGAATAAGAACTTCAACATCCTAACATCAGTTTGTTCGTACATTTCACATTTCAAAGACTTCCAATCTACAACACATTCATTCAAGTCCAATGAGATAACGGTGTAACGCTAAGAAGCTCTCCCAGGTATTCCAAATGAAATTCCAAAGCCAATGTAGAGTGCTATTAGTACAAAGTATATAAGAAGAAGAAAGGCACACCCTACATCCCTAAAAGACACGCCTTTATACCAGGCACAGATACTTACAGAAAAGTGTGGTTGAAATTAATTTAGAGTAGATATAATTAATATGAACCACATAAGGCTCTCCTTAAAAGGAAAAGTAAGAAATTATTGTAGGACGTAACAGAAAAAATGTGTGGATTTATTTAGGGAGCGAGGGAATATATATTTAAAGTCCCCTAAAGCTAATAAAAAAGTTTTGAAAATTCCCAATTGAGACTTCGAAACTCTAAGCTCATACCCCATCTGGTAGAGGGATGTCAGTGTTTCAAACATACTAAACTCCCATTGAATGGATCTTTAATCTTGAGAGCATATGAAACTCTGAAGGTATGTAATTGGGTATGCAGTACTGGAAGTGTAGAGCAACAACTAATTAGGAACACAAAAGGTGTGAAAAATAATCCATAAAAGATGGAGAATATACAAGGCCAATGGTAATATACAGACCCAAAACAAATAGACTGTCTTGTTTAGTTAACAGTTGAAAGGTACCGATTATTTAATCAATTTACAGATTCTAAATCAGATTAAAAGCCAAAATCTCAAACCTGTGCCCTAACTTTGAGCTAGGATGAACCCTGAAAGGAAATGACCAACAAAATTACCTGTCCGGCCTGGGATGACATAATCGCAATTGACCCAGGTCCACGATTTCTCCGGTTCTTCATTCCCGGCAATGCCGCTTTGATCAAATTAAAAGTCCCCGTCAAATTCACATCGATCGTGAGCTTTACTTCATCCAGATCCTGAGTCTCCAGCTCCTGCGCCATAAAAACCCCCTGATTACAGACCAGAACATCGACAGGGCCGGCCTCTTCTGCGGCCCTCTTCAAGGCGTCGTAATCTCTGACATCGGCGCTAAATATTGCGACGTCGCATCCGGTGGCGAGCCGGATCGCGCGCTTGGCGTTCTCCAGCTTCTCGGCACTCCGAGCTAGTATCGAGACCTTGGCACCTTCTAAAGCCGCGAGGTGAGCTACGGCCAAGCCGATGCCACTGGAGCCGCCGGTGATGAATACGTGGCGGTTCTTGATTGGGACTTTCACAGGGCGAGGCCGGACGATCAGGTACAGGAAGGTGGCGAGGGAGAGCGGTGCGAGAAGAAAAAGAGATAGCAGCGATAAACTTGAACCCGCCATAGAGGAGAGTGCTACGCTTCCTAGAACTTGTAGAAGTGAGGAGGGAAAGATGAAAAAGAGACAGTCTTGAATCAGCCATGGCCGAGAGTAGCAGTGTAGTACTTGTACTTGAATCAGCCATTCCTGTCTTGAATGAGATTAGACATCTTCAATGCCACTGTGAGTCTGTGATGCACATGTGGTGCCACAACTTCCACCATGGAAGAAAGTCGGATGCACGTGTTACATCAGATACTCCGTATAAGATGGAGCATTTGATTTGATCCTACTCAATTTTAAGATAGAGCATTTGATCCTACTCAATTTTATGGCTTAGGGGGTGTTTGGATCTGATTCTTAAAACTGATTCTGTTCCTTCAGGGAGCAGAAACAGAAGCTGGAGTGTTTGGGTGAAATTCCAGAAGTACTTCTGGTGCTCTAATTTAGTTTCAGAATCAGTTTTTTTAGAAGTTGGGGTACCAGCTTCTGAAAACTGATTCTGATTCTGCTTCTGCTTTAAAAAAGAAGCAGAAGCAGAATCAGTTCCAAACACCCCCTTAGTCACTTACTCACTTCCACGAAAATCTCAAATAATCTATAAATAAAAAAAATTCTCCTCAATCATGATCTTAGGGGGTGTATTGAATATGGATTGTGGTGGACTTTTTTTAATCCATGAACTTCTAAAAAAGTCAGTGGACTTTTAAATTCATAGACATTTAATCTGCCGACTTTTAAATCCGTAGACTTTTAAATCTGCGGACTTTTAAAATGAATGACTTTTCAATGAATGACTTCTATGGATTTCATTGAAATCCATAGACTTTTACTTGAACTTATTTCAGACCAAATCCAACTAGACCAGACTTTAACAAAGCAAACCAGACTTAAATAAATAAGAATCACTACACAGAAAATATGACAAATATAATAGCTAATGTTCTCTATTCCGAATGAGGTTAAACATAACCATTAAAAAATATAAGAAAAAAATAATGTCATCAATGCACAATATGGGAACAAACGTCTTGTGCTACTGAACTATGGATCAAAATTATTCATTTTCTGCAGCTGCCCACATTTGATTAGCAAGATTCATCCTCCATTCATTGGCCTTTTCCCTATGTTGATCTTGTGTCTGAAAATTATCCCATTCAAGATTGTCCTCATCATCGCTAGGTGGGTCTTCTTCTGGGTCCGGAGGAAATTCGTCAGATCGACATTCACGTCGAAGAAAATTATGTACTCCTGCACATGCCAAAACTAATTCTGCTTGTGTTTTATAAGAGAAAGGAGGTGTTGTTTTGAAGATTGTGAAGCGTTACTTGAATATTCCAAATATCCGTTCAATCACATTCCTTAAAGAAGCATGACGAAGATTGAATAGTTCAACCGCATTCACAGGGTGATTTCCTTCACCACCAAAATCCTTTAGATGATACCGAGTACCTCGAAATGGAGCTAAAAATTGACACCGATTTGCAAATCCGCAATCCCCCAAGTAATATTTTCCTAGGCATTGAATCATTACACAATTAGTCTATTATACAATGCAATAAGTAATTGGTAAAAGAGATTTGGATAAACATGTTAAAGTGTACCTGGTGGCACTTTAAGACCATTTGGTCTTGAAATTGCATCATTTAACACTTTTGAATCATGGGCAGAACCCTCCCAACCGCTAAGCACATATATGAATTGCAAATCAAAGTTGCAAGCAGCTAATACATTTTGAGATATAGTTCCATGACGATTTCGATAGCTGTTCACTTCTCGTCCAGGTACGATTGCTGGAATATGAGTGCCATCTATTGCTCCAATGCAATCCTAGCTAGCATTAGGAAAAGAAGAAATACCCAAAAAATAATAATTAATCATGTCAAATTAGTGAAGTGCATTACGAAAAGAAAAAATACCAAAAAAATAATAATTAATCATTCTTAATCATCAATAAAGTTTTGCATTACTCACCTTGAAATGAGGATAAAACCTTGTACTCTTAACAATTTTATTAAACCCCATTGACAAGCTCTCAATAACCTCTCCGTGACTATTAGGTTCCTTTGTTCTTCCATTGTTCTCAAAATCATTTCTACCACGTTTTCCTTTAGCTTTATTGCTTGATGAAGGTGGATCCTCTATATTTCTACCACCATCTTGTGGAAGATATGATGAGTCCTCCCGGTGGGATGATGCATTTTCACTCGGTGTGAACGTGTTAGTATTTGGATAAAAATAATAATCCATCAATGCCACCAATTCCACATGATTCATCATCTAGTCCAAGCACTGTAGCATCTGTATTTTCACCAAGACCAATTGCACCCATCCCAGTTGCAGTTCCATTCCCCACTGCGATTCTCAGGTCCTCATAGTCCGGACAAGTTTCTGACCGAAGGTGTGCATGTTCTTTATGTGACCGATATATAAAAAATATAAAGTTTGTTATTATGATGTTAAAAAATAGACACACAAATGAATAAAAAATGCCCACCTTCAAGTAATCAGCCCATACTTCTTCGGAAGCGGTGAATTTCTTTGTGGCCGCATCCCATCCGAATCCAGAGTTGTGCCGCATAAGTTGAGAGTAATTGGAGTATTGTTTTTTAAACCATTTGAGTCTACTTTGGTAATGATTAAAACTAATTTTATAACCAAGTTTTTCCTTAAGTTTAGGAAGGAGTCTGGTCTCTACCATTTGTTTACTGATCACACCATTTATATCACGAAGGCCAAGTTTGGCACTTTCAACCATTAGCTGAAGCAAGACATTACTCTCTTCTATGGTCCAAGTTTTATAATCCTTTTTTTTGGCATTACCTTGTGAATCACCCATCTACAAGACATGTAAAACCATTAACACAAACAATAAACACAAACTCGTACCGCTTGATCTTTTCAAACATAAACTATATTAAGTTTTTCAACAAATATTATTGTGTTATTTCACATACTCTTTTGCTGCATTGTTGCTTGAACAACTAGTAAAAATTTTGTTTTTTCTTATATTCTTGTTCCCAAATCATAACCTGAACGACTAGTTTTAATTTTTTTTTGTAGCTTCAACCTGCTCAATATGCTTACTTCCTTTTAGAGTGTATAGATACATATATAAAGAGCCCGTTTGGTAGCACGAAAATTAGTTGATTTGGCTGATTCTGCTGAAATTTATGAAATTCTGGCTGAAGTGGTTGCATTGGCTGATTCTGTTGATTTCTGAAAAAATAATTTTAAAAATAGATTTTATTAATAAAATAAAGAAAAAATTATATGTAAAATAGCTAAAATGGTCATCTAGAATAACTTAGTCAATACAGCCAGAAAAGTAACTCAAACCTTACTATTTCTCCTTATTACACTATTTAGCGTGCGAAAGCAAAAGTTACGTGTTTGGTGAAAAAGTTGACTGATATGCCTTATAACCTGAAAACACTGTTCCAAAAGGCCTCAAATACATACGAATAAACATTAAAAAAGATGATTTAACACTATATAGACATTATACGGTTTACTCCTTAGTGGAACACATCACATCATCACTATTAAAATTCTTTTATGCTCAATACACCACTTATCACAATTAGATATATAAAACCCACTTTTATGCTCAATACAAACCCACATATATAAAACAATGGACTGCTTCTATAATGTAATCCCAAGTCATGATACAGTAAATATATAAGAGATGAACCTTCTATAATGTAATCCCAAGGCTTTAAAGCTGAATATTTTGTATATATGATAGAGAGCTCTTCTCATCAGGCCGGCCTGACGGGCTGCCCCGTCCGGCCGAGCCCATTTGGGCACCTTCCCGGTGGAATTTTTTGATGAAATTTTTTGAGCATGTTCCTCATCAAGTCTAGTTTGTCCATACCAAATTTCAGCTCAAAATTCGATCGGGAAGGTCGTCAAATTATTTTTGCAAGTTAACTGGTCCGGAAAATACATATTCCGGACCAGTTAACTTGCAAAAATCATTTGACGACCTTCCGGATCGAATTTTGAGCTGAAATTTGGTATGGACAAACTAGACTTGATGAGGAACATGCTCAAAAAATTTCATCAAAAAATTCCACCGGGAAGGTGCCCAAACGGGCTCGGCCGGACGGGGCAGCCCGTCAGGCCGGCCTGACATGAGCATTCCTCATATATGATATATGTGGAGTCCCTATATGTTAGTCTTGAATATTCTGTGCTTTTTTGCTATTGTTATAGACTTGTAGGTATTGCTTGTGGGTAGTGGGCAATAGCTCTACATTAAGGCCAGAGGGTACTGGATGATTTTGGTCCAACTTTGGTACACTCATCATTATTCCACCCCATAATGCAACTAATTCCACCCCCTCCCATCATGAAAATAATTCTACCACCCCTATCATGAACCACAACCATACGACCCACTCCTTTAATTCCCATTCTACCATTCCTAATTCACCAGCTGATCACACTATATCTTCACCCCCTTCATCTACCCAACCTCATCACTCTCGACCTACCCGACAACGTAATCCCAATCCCAAATACTTTGGAAGTCAGTTTGTCAACCACACCACTCTTCATCCTATATTACCTGCCCTGGAACCATCGAGTGTGAAAGAAGCCTTGGCGGATCCTAAGTGGCATCAGGCCATGCACGAGGAAATGGAGGCTCTACACCGTAACCATACCTGGACACTAGTTCCTCGTACTGATCACACACCCATCACATGTAAATGGCTCTTCCGGATCAAACGGAATGCTGATGGCAGTATTGCACGGTACAAGGCACGACTTGTTGCCCGGGGATTCTTGCAACAGGCTGGTCGTGACTATGCCGAAACTTTCAGTCCGGTTACTAAACCGGCCACCATTCGTATTGTACTAGCCATAGCTCTCTCCCGTCAGTGGCCACTACGTCAATTGGACGTAAATAATGCATTCCTACATGGCTCCTTGTCGGAGAAAGTCTATATGTTGCAACCGCCGGGGTTTAAAGACTCATCTCACCCCACACATGTGTGTCGTCTCCGAAAGGCTTTATATGGCCTTAAGCAAGCACCACGTGCGTGGTATCTTGAACTGTCGAGGTTCCTTATTTCTGCTGGTTTTCGGAGGTCCAAGGCCGATGCATCTTTATTTATTTTTTCTCACAATAATATTTTGTTATACTTTCTTGTATATGTTGATGATATAGTGCTCACCGGAAATCAGCCTGCTGCTTTGGAACAGTTCATACAGCAACTCACGACACGTTTTTCAGTTAAAGATCTTGGCTCACTACATCATTTTCTTGGTGTTGAA